TCAAGGTCAAAGAATTAAAACTCACCGATGACATTTACTTGCACCTCATAACTATCACTTCCTAGAAGATTTGTAGCCGTGCAATTGTATTTTCCTTCGTCGTTTTTAGTGACGTTTCTTAGCACCAAACTTGTGCTTTCTTCAATTGATCTGTTTTGAAGAACTTGCTCGTCACGAAACCAGATTACCCGGGGAGAAGGATAACCAGTTGCATCGAAGTCTAAATGTAGAGTCATTCCTTGGACCACCGCGAACAGTTGTGGGCTATTTATATTCAATTTGGGCCTCTCTGAAAAAGAGGAGAACAAAGTTTTGTAAGCCTAATTAAATATTGATTAAAAACGGTGATGTTTTTTTTTCCTTTCCTGCGTTCTATTTATCTGTCTCCTACGTGCATAAGCGAATGAAGGGGAAGAAAGGGAGGTAGTAGTCGAAAAGTAATTTCCACGATAAATGCTTTGTTTTTCGACAGACAAAGTCGTACCTTGAGCTATTTGAATAACAGTTGTGTTTTCTCCCGCTCCAATTAACGGAACCATTAATATGCACCAGACCACCATTCCGTCATACTTTGATGACATCTTTCGTACAGTCAATGTTCCATTCATGCTAACTTTATATTCCTTCGGGTAGTAATTGAATATCGTGTTGTTTTCGATCCGTGCAATTATGAATCTGTCCCGCCTTTCATTTCTGCATTGTCTCATTGTGGGACACATATATAAACCCTTTGACTCGCTGTCCGACTGGGGAAGATCATCTCTGTTTATCACGCAATGTATCCCTACGTCCTTTGCATTATTTTCAACAATGATCTTGTTCTCTGCATTATTGATATCTGATCCTGTCGAGGGAGTGTAGAGATAAAAAAGGAAGTTAGCAATTTTACCGGGCACTCGTGTGATTCCTATGGGAGTGGTCATTTATAACGCAGGAGACGGGGTTGGGGGTTGGATGGGGGGGGGGGGGGGGGGGGGGGGAGAAATTTGGTTATGTCACAACACCCCTGAAAGCCATGTTATTAACCCCAAAACATCCTCTGATCCTCCCCCCCCCTCCCCATCCCATCGCGAATCGCTTGTGGAATTTGTGTTATTTGATTAGCCAGCAAATGTTGCTTTAAATGGTAATGAAGGAGACTCCTTTTATGAAATCAGTTCGTCGCAATCGTATTTATCTTCTACAAATAGTTTTACTCTTGAATTGCTCTCAGTAGGTTTTGCAGACAATAGTTATACACTCTTTGGCTTTGTTCGAGTATAATTTGAGAGTACTAGGAGTCTTTTATTTTGAGTCTTTGCATTCTGATTGCATAAAACCGCAGTTTGGGTTAGACCTCGCGTAAATAACCGGCCGTGTATACATCGCTGAATTCATGATAGTCTCACGTCAAGTCTAAATTTATCACGCCATCCGCAGTCAGAATTGTTCAATTGAAATGTCTTTGTTGGTAAATATTTGTTGGGAAACGCATTTGTAATACGGAAGAATACAAGCTCAACTGAACTAAAAGTGGTCCCTCTAAAAAATTAACTGAGCGACGGAAGATAATTGTAGCCTCAAATCATCGTGCGTAGTCAACAAGTTTAAGCACATTGTTTTCGAAGTCGCGACAAATTTCAATTAAAAGCGTCTGTTGAGAACCGGCCATCTGGAAACGCGTGCTTAATGTCTCAATTCTCCTTAAGATTACATTACCTGCCCAATATCGGTAAAAATGAGGGTTAACTACATTTTTGTCCAACTTTTGTCTCGAAGAGGCAACCCGGTCTTTCTATCTCAATAAGAAGACGTCGTATGTTTAAACCTAACGGTACAGCGGAGAAGTAAAAGGAAACTTCATTGTAGCCAAAACTTTCTTGTCAACGTCAGGAAACAATAGAGTCTTAGGAATTTGTGGTTTTCTGCTATTGTTAGAACATCAAAATGTGTTCGTAAACCTGTCGTGAAATTTCGCTCAGCTTGAGTCTACTACGTCATCACATGGCTGTCAGAATGCAAATACAACTCATCGCCCTCTACAGTGAGCAAGACCAGTACTAGGTTATAAATTTGGAGATTTCGAGACGATTTTGTTATTTTATGTGTACGTACCAAAACTTCAATCGACCCGCGGGTGATGTTAATTCTTACACCGCCGCTTTATTCGCCAAACGTCTCGAATATGGATTGCTCTCATGTGGACCAGGCATGTGAACAATGTCAAAACACAGAGCCATTAATTCGAGCCCCCTACAATTGTTCAGCAATAAAGTGCTGAAGATGACAGCCGTAAATACATTTTCAAGGTACGAAAATATGACTTTAAAGATCGAGAGAAAATCTTATATCGTTTTACTACAAGTTTTTGTTAATCCTCAGCGACCTATTCAAAATGTAAGCGCGCGGTATCTGTTTCGCCAGCGACCGTACTAGTGTACATATTCAATGCAATGAAATCATTACTAATGTATTACGACTTACTGACCTGAGCTGAAAACTACCAAAGTGATGAAAATCCCGGATAGATATAAAACATTATGTCCCATTCCCATACTGCACTGTTGATATTTCAAATTTCCCTTGTAAAGAGCTCTATGCGTGTTTGTCGTAAATGAACGAATGCAACAGACTCGAGTGTTCACAGTCATGTGATAATATGACAGCTCAGCATGAGTCTACTACGTTATCACATGATTGTCAAAATGCAAATACAAGTCATCACCCTCCTCGAGGCTAAATGGCAATCGATGGCAATGAAAAACAAAGAAAATTATCGAAATGAGTCGAAACTTAGTATACGAATAACAAAGATTTAGAATAAATATGTTTTCTTTTATTTCTTTTGACGAGCGTAAGGAAAATGAAACAAAAATGTATACGAGTGCACTTAATAGATCGAATAAATATATGAGGGCCCAAATTGGGCCCAGATTCTTTGTATGAAAATTACTTCGCCACTAAAACCAACTTATTTAGGAAAACAAAAAATGCCTTTTCATTTTTGATTCTTCCTTATGTCACAGGTAGGTAAAATTGTAGATTAAACTGGGCTCTGTACCATCTCTAATTAGCCAAACGTGTTATCTGAAGATTGAATTTTGTAAACATAGTCATGCAAGCTTCTCTTTGAAATTTCAGAGTAGTGGGAAATTTGAAAGAATAGATTTAAGCGGTTGCAACATAACATGTGATTAGTGTCGAATTCATGATAAATATTTAAGCGAATTGACAGTAAGATCATTTGCGCGACCACAGTGTCTAATGTGATGAATTGGATATTTGTCGCTTGCTTTGCAAGTGTGCCTTTTGTCAAAACATTAATTATTTTTTAAAAGCCGGCCACATGGAAACAGGTGAAATGACATGATTTGTTGATATTTTGATTTGATCGCCAAATTCTGCTATTTTCGTCAGAGCACGTGTGTGGAAAGGAAAGGAAAGAAAATCTTGTCCGTCCTTCACAATTGCATTTTAGTATTTTTCTTTCTGGCTATTTGCCTTCTTTCTTTCTTGCCGTTATTCGGTGGGGTCAGCCAAGTGGGTAATTGCCTAAGATAAAAGTATAGGAGCGTTGCGTCGCTCACTCAAGACACTTTTATTTAATGGTATCTGTTTGGGTGGGTTCATTTAACTACGAAAACAAGTTATGTGTTACTCACAACATGATCCATAAACAAAGGCTTTTACTGAAGAGTTTATTATTGCCAAGCGGAATACTTTGATCTGATGATATGCATAAAAAACGGGTGATTTAAACAGCACAACACAAGTTTTATCTTTTCTCATTAATCTTTCATGACACATCCGTTCTTTTTAGTGGTTTCATTTCCCACTGAGGGTACGTGAGCCAAAACTTACAGTTTTTTTCTTTTCTCGTAAAAGGAAGAAGCCCAAGAACAGACAAGGCGGCATTTATTTTCATAACTGCGAATGTTTTTGTTTTTTAAATATTCCTTTCAAAGCAGAGGATAGCGTTGTATTTTTGGCAGCTATTGACATAAATGTGCTTTCTTCATTCCGGCGCTTATTTTATAGTCAGTTTGGCGGAAATACGCCATTATGAAGTGGGATAATAAAAAGAGTTGACTTCCTAAAACTCGTAAGGAATATTAATTTTGTTTGATTCCTAAAGCTTAGATATTCAAATTTTTAATAGCGATTAAACTAATCCTTACAGTTTTGTTTTGTTCACGTTAATCCGCTTACTCAAGCTGAAAATAAAACTGCTTTGTTGAAGTGCTTTCTTCTTTCTTCCTTTGAAAGTGAATCTCTATTTTCACTAAAACAATCAAACACGAAACAGAGATTAATATACAGACCTGTCCATGTGGGATTTCTTGTTTCAGGTCTTTGAGCAATTGCAAGTCGCAACAGCGAGAGGCAAAACAAGGTCAATCGCAGACTCATATCTTCAATTATTATTATGACCTACTGTCGCAAGCTGAGGTTTACTTTAACGTTTTCTCCAGCCGACCCGCTTTCATACTTTGACAGCATTTCGATATGTCAGCTGACGAACTCGATATCATTTCTAAATTTATCGCGCTATTTATGAG